TTCGGTGGAGTGGTAGCTAGCCTAGAGGCTAACTTGGTTCGATACTTATTTGCAACAGAAGTTGCAACCAGCTTGCTAACATCAATCCGTTGGTGGCGGTCACTTCGTTGTCCACTGAAAAGTAAGGCAAGATTGGCGCAGACCAAGGCATGGTCAGAGTCCAGATAGGTACTCCAAAAGGAGCGGCAGTCTTTTATACAACCACGCCAGCGGAAGCTGATCGCGATGTGATCAATCTGAGTCCAGGCTTGGGATGCAGAGGGAGGACGCCAGGTGGCACATCGGCGATGACTGTGCCGAAGTTAGTGCTAGCCAGAAACAGGTTGTGGTCTGTGCACAGTTGCAGTAGACGGTCCCCGTTATCTGACCTGCGACCAACGAGTCCCCATCGGCCACCTAAACGACTCTCTTCTGTGCCTAGACGCCCGACCGGAGCATTCAAGTCTCCGGCTAGTACTACAATATCTGTCGAACGCACTTTCTGGAGAAGAACAGATAACTGGTGGTAGAATTCATCCTTGATTGCATCCGGGCTGCAATCTGTCGGGGCATAGGCGGAGATGACGAAAAGACATCGTTTCTCACGCCGATTTCTTCTCACTTTGATGGAACTTTCTATTCTAACAGCACATAGCCGACTGTTAATGGGGATCCAATCGATTAGTGCTGCGCTTAGTGCGACACCAACGCCAGCAAGACCAAACGAAGATGCCACAGGGTCCCCGGATAAGCGCACGTGAAACAAGCTTTTCGAAGCGACAGATGGAGATCGAATTTGTAGTACTTCGCCAGAGTCTTGAATACGGGTCTCGGATAGACAACAAACATCAATATTAAGACTTTCCAAAGACATAGCCAGCCCTATCTGTTGTCCGACCTGCACTAGTGTGCGAACGTTGAAGGCAGCCAGTTTGAATGGTGCACGTGGTTTCAGAAAAACTGCTTCAGTTCTCGTAATCGGTGGTAACATACAATTTTCAACCGGACAGTGACTCGAGAACGTTTAGATACAGTCGAATTTCCACCAAAGACGAGCCGCTGTATAAGTATAAAAGAGGGAGAACAATGTGGAAAATAATAATAATAATAATAATGACAATAATGGTACTAATAATAATAATAATAATAATAATAATAATAATAATAATAATAATAATAATGACAATAATGGTAATAATAATAGTATTATTAATGTCAATAATAGTAATAATTATTGGAATCGATTGATTATATATCGGAGCGAGAAAATTCGTTGCCATAGTCATAGAGTTCATCGTTTGTGTGTGGGCTGTGATACTGCCCGGGTGCCCAAACCGAAGCAGGTGGTTGTCTTAGGGGGCCACACCCCGAGCCTTTGACCAAATGGTCTAACCCACAAGGCAGTGGAGCATCGTAAGGAGATGCGATCCCATGGTAGCCGGTGACCAACGATTGGTTCATACGCCATTTGTTCCCGCAGGATACTGGAGCCCATGTGCACCATTGGTTTGTGATCCGGTTAAAGCGCCGGACGTTCGCTTTTCGTCCTCTCATTTTCGTAAACAACACCCCCGCCGCGAGAAGGCAATGAGTAGGACTTCCCTGGCAGAGGCTGTATACGCGCGGCCGTGTGAGAGTATTTCGAGAGGGAGAGCGGACTCTCCCCACTCTCGGCCGTACCAGGGCGTTCGGGGGCACCATTTGAATCTAATTGTTGTTTAATGTTAAGCAATCTAACTCATAAATGAGTATATTGGGATATTATTTCTGATCTAGCGATTGAGTGATATAAATCTTTATCTAGTCAATTCTTTTGTTCTAGAGTTGAGTTATAGTTCATCTGTGTGTGGTATGTTAAGGGAGAAGTATTGGTTCGCTGTTAATCCGATAAAAACTTGGTAACGGTATCAGAACAAAGGAACCAATCCCTTCACCTTTCGACAGTAGACCGGAGGCTTTCCTGTTATGTCTGCAAAATGTACTGTTAGTAGAAATTTGTATAATTTCCATAAAATAAAGAAAATTGTCCCATTCACTAACCAGTGAAATGAAAAAACATTCAATGTCTGTAATTGTTATCCATCCTTATATGATTATAGTACATTGATTTCTTTGCATGAAAAATAATAAATCAAGGCTTTATTGTCTGCTAAACATTGGTGGTTTCTAAACACTTCTGTTTTACTTTTTAAAAACAATAATTTAGTGATATAACGCCAAAACAGAAATATTCCCCGTTTTTAACGACACAATACGACCGGGTGCGAGATTTTTACCACTACTAGGATAGATACGTGATCAATACACAAAGTGGTTCACGTTACATCAGACACGACTCAGCACTAGAATATAAAACCAGATCATAGACTAGACAATTTTTTATTCGATACAACTCTAAGCAGTCAACACTCAGTCAGTCGAGACTAGAAACCAACAATAGGAAGGAATTCACAAATTAAATATCCAATAACCCTTGCCTCTCAGGTCACACACAGAAACCAATCACATTTACTTTCACTAACCAAACATCAGTTAGCCCGTGATATTTATGGAAAGATAACAACCGTTAGCTAGCTTGCATTCATCTGCTCTGGCAATATCATACCATAGTTTTATTCTGAGGACCTATCTGCAACCTTCAATCTCTTGCATATTCTATACATTCAAATCGTTTTGATGACTCATTTATAATTATGTTTAATACATCCATATAAACTGAATTTCGTGAATCTAACTAGCTACACACATGTATAGTAACAAACAAAACTTGTTTATTCCACTAATGATTTGACGTGAATACGATTGTACGTACAGCTCTTTAAGATAAAACCAGAAAGGACATATCTTACGTAACAAACTAGTCTTTTTTATTTTCGATAAGTGAAAACAAGTATTCTATAGAAAATTTTACAGAAAATATTTTCCCTTGAGTGGTAGTGCATACCAGGCTTGACTGTCTACGTTGACGTACGATACACATTAGTTTCATTTCAATAATGGTTAACCTGGGTGACATGGCTCAGAACCGATCACAATGGCATCGGTGTATACACTCTTTGTCTTCTCTTAAACCGTGAAATTAGTATTGCTTTATATCTTTCTTTCTACGAACTGACTCTTTTTTTCTGTACTATATCCTTATATGCAATCTGTATTTTATACACTACTACCATTGAAGTGACTACTTTTATGAACTTACTGTTAATCTTGTTGTGCTAATGTCGTGTGGCAACTTGGACCGATGCATAAATGTGCCTGGTCCTTCATTGTAGTTGACTGATTGAAAAATATGAAACGATAGTCTGATGTCATTTCTATGGGGCCTTTCTCATTTATTATAAATTCCTTGTTAATTGTGGACGGTATTTTTAAGTAGTGCATACAAAAATGTCAGTTTTCGGAAAACTGGATTCCAATTTAAAAGTACCGTGCTCGCCAAGAAACCTGAGGGTTTTCAAAAATCTGTGAGATAATTGCTAATGTTTTAGTTATTACAAATTTACATGGTAATTGCAGAAAGTTACCGCCGTTAAATATTTTAGACATATGTGAATCAGAAAGTATAGGCTGGTCAACTTGAAGTTCATATCAGATATCTTTAGAAATTTAGTGTAGTACGGAGTACCATAAACTATTATCAAGTTAAGTAATGGAAATCTAAGCACGTTTCATAGCTAAATTGCGTGAAGCAGTAAGGTACGCTAGAGAATGGCGAAATATTATTCAATTACAATTTCAACTGATTGTTCAGACGAAAAAGACTCATCATAAAAAAATGGAGACATTAAATTTGGACTCATATATTAAGTTAACTGTCAAACTTACGAGGATTAAGTTTCAGAGCCTGTTATGTTCGGTATACCAGAGAATATCCTGTTCGGATAATAGGTTGTTATCTCATTTTCGGTATCAATATCAACAAGTAACTTAATCTTATGATAAGCTTCGCTATGCAAATTGAGACATTTTCTTTTAAAATCGTGAGCACTAAATATTATTGTTGTTACGATCTTTAATGTATTAGCTGTTTTAAGGTTGCACGTGTTAGAAAAAAGAGGCCCATCAGTGCGAACTGCTTTAAACCCTGTTGAATACCACACACTCTAAACCCCTACACTAATTATTATGACAAAGACGTGAAACCGAGTGCTTCTGAGAGGACTGTTTCATCGAAGTCAAGACAACAGATATTAGTGGTAAGAAACTACGTGACATGATTTAATATCAACAGTAGTGCAGGAAAACAACCCAATACTTATGAGTATGGATTGACAACAAACATTTATATAACCATGTCTTATCCCATCTTTTGTCACCTACTGGTAATACTACTCCTAAATTCTCGGCTTTCCATGGTTGAGAGGTTATGAGTTGTGGCGGTTAACAACATATGAATTAGTTAATATGTGGTTACAATTCATTTGCTAGTTTTTTCTCGTATAAAAACTTGGTGGTATGTGACAACCTAGACTAGAAAGCTTTTACTTCAGGTTTTATTCTTTGTTTACACTTGTGTTTAAAATAGATAAGTGGCCGAAAATACTATTTGCATAACAGAGATTCCTTTTGATTTAATGACAAATTGTAGTACTTATGGAGTAATAAGAAATTTGAACGAGCTGACCTAAATAGCATTCCAGACTTAGTAGAATAGAAAATATGAATATATCACGTCGGTAGGTATAAGAAAGGTTCCGTGGAATAAAATAAAAACAAACTTACATCTGACATACATAGGCCTTATCATTTAGTATCCATAAAACCTAAATAAGTGGAACGTTTTGATGATAACAAGTTGTTCTGTTTTTACATTAGTCCAATTAGCAAAACGGGCTGTTCCCTGAATCGTACTAACAACCTAAGATTATGGTAGCTGGCTACATATTACTTGAAAGATTCTATCAAGATTGTTAAAACATGTATCCTTACCAACGTGTACAAATTCCACCTTCAATTCTTGAGTGAATGTACAGATTTAAGTACCGCATAGTATCGGGTATTTCTAGAGAAAACGCAAAACATTTCAGGCAGATATTATTTTATAACGTAATTGTGGAGTAAAATTTAAGTAATCCGTTTAAATTACAATTATAGTTATTGGGAAATATATGTACATCAATAAGGTTTAATATAGATTAGTTTTCTTCATGACCCGAAGAAATTCTTGTTCGTTGACTTCACCATCACCATCGCGATCAGCCTCATCAATCATTTCCTATGAGTTACATAACAGTTTTCTTAACTACTTACTTGCAACTCCTCGTCAGTAAGATTTTCACCAAGTTCTTTTGCCACACGCTTAAGGTTTTTAAAAGATATTTTCCCAGTTTCATCATCATCAAAAAGGCGAAAGGCTTTCAGCATCTCTTCTTTTGCATCTTTGTCTTGCATTTTTACAGACATCATTCTCAGAAAGTCAGAGAACTCAATAGAATCTAACGGGTGAAAATTTTGAATATGTGAATTACCATACCTTTGTTGTCGCAATCGAATTCTGTCAAGAGTTTTCTCACTTCTTCTTTTTTGGGTTCGAAACCAAGGGCCCGCATAGCAACTTTCAACTCTTTGATATCGATTGTTCCTGACTTATCAGTGTCAAAAAGGTCAAATGCTTCACGGATTTCTTGTTTTTGATCTTCTGTAAGTTCATGTTTAACACCACGACCCGTGATCTCCTTCTTCTTTCCAGATGGCTGCTGAGACGGTCTTTTTGTAACTGTGGACTGTTATATTCAGGAATATATATTCAACCAACCCACCATATAAGCACAATCAAATCATTCACTGCTTTCCTAAATAATCAATATCAACACTACATAGCTAGTTTAAAGAAATACAGAGGAAATTTTCGTTAAATGTCGTAGGGTAGTAAAATCACTCAGAAGCTGTTGTTTTTATCTTAACCACAGTACATACTATCGTGAAGGTAAATAAGTAACTGGTATAGCAGTGTCACAAGAAAAGCAAGAAGCTATAGCTACATTTCTACATGCAGTTACATACATATACAAAGAGAATTTAAGCGGTTGGAATCCAACGGCTAATTGTGCAGGAATAAATGTAATATAACTGGTAATTTTTCGACGGCAGATGCAACAATTACATAAGTATCCAGTCAGGTATCAGAATCCACAGTGGCTTGGATCAGTCGGCCACCTGAAGTCCCTATATTATCACAAATATGACTGTGTCCTTTATACTTTTAGTGCATATGGGATCGCTAAAAACCAGTTAAATAAATCAAGTGAAAAAGCTTTGTAATTACTATCGGTTATTATGCATTACTAGAACTAGTTTAATTACCGGTTTCAGTAATTGCTGGAGTTACATAGAAATATGTTACTTCATTACTAACCAGTCTTTACACGAAATCCAATGATCTAGCCATCTGCTCCATTTTGGTGATTAGGCTCTTTTGTTTGCTTCCATTAGTTTGAAGACTGGCCTAAGGTGTAATGCAAAACTTACTTTACGATGCGGTGGAAATGTGATGCAGAAGATCACCTGTCACACAATGATTTTTTTATAAACGAGTGTTCTTGATATTTCAGTGAGCCAGATTACGAATACCAATCCCTATCAAATATGGCTGTTTCCGTACAAAGACCTGGACTTGTAATAAAACTCTGAAGAAGCTCTGTTCTAAAAATATTGCTTATGAACTATAGCTGACATGTCATAGTAGAGAAGACTAATTTCTCACTGAAATAAACGCGACAGCGACCACTAGTGTGAATAATCTAATGCTTCATGGAGTAGGTAAAATAAGGTTGGAAAGAGTGCAAAATAGTTAAAAAAATGTGTCTAACATAGTTAAATTAAATGCAGTGGAGTAGACATTTGTCCATATTATACTCTGTATTGCTGAGTTGATCAAGACTTTAAGACCACTCCGAATTGTAGTTATGCCGCATTTATGTGTGCACTCTACTGTTAATATGGCTCGAAATCACGAACTCTAAGTATCCCAGCAGTTCCACATCAAGTATTTTTCGGTGGCGCCTCATTTATTCCAAGTGTATGAAACGACGATATATGAGAGTGATTTGCAGATAAAAAAAAAGTGGGAAAGAGTGCGAAATAGTTAGAAAAAATGGGACTAACAGAGTTAAATTAAATACTAAATAGGCAAAAATACTTGATAATACTTGCCCTAATAAATACAGTTGTCAATTAAAAAACTACTCAGTACGATCATATTATAGGATAGATAAAGAAGTTTACTATCAAAAAGTAACAACACTGAAATGAGCAGCTCGATCAGATAGCAGGAGTAAATCCTTTGATAAGACGAGCGTATAATCTCAACTCAGTTAGCGTTTAACTAACAGCAATTGCTTAATTAAACGTATGGATTCAACTAATCAATCAGTAATTTCAAATCGAATGTCACTTCTGTCTTACCGTGTTGCAATGTGACAATATTCTATTCAAAGCAAACAGGACGAAGGGTTTTGTTTTGTCCTAAAAGTGAGGAGTTAATATATGAGAAAATAGTCACGAAGAGTTATCGTCTGCTTTGTTATTAGTACTGCTGTAATAATAGATGTAATCCTAATATTGTAGAATTGTCACGATGTAATTGCCTAATCTATACGATCTTAAGTGAAAGTCACGTCATTGTCTACACTGACTCATTGTATCGTAATAATCACCAATATGTGATGGGAAACACATATAGGCTGGAGACAGAACAATATATATATATTTAATATAAACAAAAGTCTTTTCAGTAATTGTGTGTTTGGCTCCAAAGGTCGTGTGGCTAGGGTCTAATGCCACTACAGTTATCCAAGGAATGTAAGAGTTAACTGCTCAATGGTCAACAGAAATAAACGATCTCAGAAGCAGGAATCACGTCTCATTCTCAGTATGATAAACCATAGGCAATCGATACACACTAGAACAACCGAAAAATAGTATTCCAGTACAGCAACCGCCAAAAAGCCAAAGTGAAACGGTCACTAAACCTTTAGGGACCTCAAGGAGTTCATCAATTTCACGATTTGCGGTCAATTTTACGATCTAATGGCTGAGAATGAACTAAAAAGTAAGAACATAGTATGTGTGGATACAAAGAGTGACAGAAGTAACATTACATATGCAGAAAAAGAGAAAAAATGCCGTCATACGGAATTAGGGGATAGGTGGTTTTATGCGTATGTATAAGAACAAACATATAGGAAGGATCTTACAGTCAGCTCATACCTCGAAAGTAACAGAGCATCCTAGCTTAGGGATTTCTACAATAGCCTAAATCTTGCCGAAAATTTTATCACAACTTTCACCAAATTATCAGTGTTTAATTGAGTTTACTGAAACTGCCTGACCTGAAATCCTAGCTTCACCATATGGTTAAATGATGGATTATAACATTTTACCTCATACCACCCCATATTGTTTAGCGACCCTCTACTCTTGCACACCTCAATGTGGTGACCGGTGTATCCTTTCCTCACCATTCAATTTATATAACAGGAAGACCTCACCGGCCTAAAGTCCATTCAGAAAGATAAACTAAATGTATCATAACCAAGATAAGGTGCAACCAGGCACTTACAAAGTCTACACAATCTGCCCACCAATTAAAGTTAGCCATAGTCAAACCTGAGTAACAGACGCAAACCTCACAAAGCTCACTGATCATCTTCCGTTCTAATATCATTTTCAAGGAATAATAACCGAACTAGATTTATTCATTAGTTCAATTACTCCGCATCTTAATTGTCAGATGCAACAACCTGTCAAAGTGTTTTGGCAGGGTTTTATGACAAGATTTTCCATAAATTGTCTATCTGTAAATAGTTTTCTCAATTTCGCTTTTATCAGTGTCACTACATTGTCTTCTATTCGGTGTTTACAGTAGTGCATCTCACCACTGAATTGAGAGACACTGTCCCTCCAGAAACTTGTTTTATTTCCAGAACACCCTTCAGAATCCTTTGGAGTTAAAGTTTACTCATACAGTATATGCGAAAGATATCCTCAAAAGATTTTCTAAATTAAGAACATTATGTTACGTCTTTAAGTACTTGTAAAGCAAGGCGAGAAAAATATATATACGGTGAATAGTGTTTTGATGATTAACTTTCGGCAAAAGTTAATAAAAAACATATATTTACTAGTTCGTCTAAACACTACTAAGCTTGTGCTTTCTTTGGATCACTATCCACATGTACTTATTTTATCCTTTGCGTCGTGCAAAAGGCCTGACTTTTGATATCCATCCCTTGTGTATTTGCGTTTTCATGACAGGTTTCACTTCTTCTCCGTGGACACCAAAAATCCATTAAAGCCCGCTGAATGTTATCTCTACTTGTAAACAGTAGTTACCTATACCCGTTTTGATTTTAGATATGTCAGGTATGATAAACAGCCAGATCAGGCACCATCATGTAAGCTAGAAAAAATTCGTCACGATAAATCTTAGCCAATTCCATTAAATTGATTTTTGCGAAAAACGATCACAAATTACAAACCGCTCATGGAATTTTCTATCTTTTCAGCTTCTACAGCATGACTTATATATATGAAGCGATATCAGCCTTTTAACTTGAGACTGTAAGTTGAAGAAGTGGGCGGTGCTATCAAATGTTTTGGTACCAGCTATCAACGTGTGTGTAAGTCTGAAATAAAAATGCTTCCTCTTCAGTTGGAAGCTGGTTATTCCTCTACCAAATTACGTAGCTGATGATTATATCCGGCCAAGAATCATTGAGAACCTTGAGTAGATAACTGGTTTTATATGCATGTACTATTTTGATGATAGCTGTAATTGTTCTGCAAGTATCAATACCAAGGACGGACCTGATAGTTTCAAATGAATTAAGTATCGGATAGAAAGCAACAATAAACATATTTTTGTTATATTCCAGTGATTAGAAAAATTGCATTTCTGATGTCTCTTGACTTAATGTTAGCCATCTCTTCAGACTAGATAAGTAGCACCTCAACGTTTGTACTAAAGATTCTGACTGGTATTAGTTGACAGTTATTTTGAGTTTCATATGTTCTTCAACTGTAGGAATGCGGCTCCTGCTTTGCTAATCCTTGCCTCCACATCTGCATCGGATCCGCCTTGTTCATCGATGATACTTCCTAGGTATGAGAAAGATTCCACCTCTTCTAGAGCTTCTCCATCGAGTGTGATTAGGTTAGTGATTTCCGTGTTGCATTTGAGGATCTTGCTTTTTCATTTGTGTGCGTTGAGGCTTACTGCTGCAGAGCCTGTTGCCACACCAGTTGTTTTCATCTACATTTGTTAGTGTGTGTGGGATAGAAAAGCTAGATCATCTGCCAAGTCCGAATCTTCTAATTGATTCCAAGCTGTCCAGTTTATTCCGTTTTCTGTGTTTTAGTTTCTGACTAGGCGGATTCAAACGTTCTAGTACGCGTTATATCATAAATCTAATCTATATTTATAACAAACTCAAAGAAGCTTTGTACACTATATGGAGTAGCGTACTTCGGAACAGCGTGATGAAACCTTGCTCAGTGAATTGTTTTCTTTAATAAGGCAGAAGATTGGAAGTCTTTTTCGCCACTCTGCTTGCCAACGAATTCCAATGCGATTAATGCCAACCTATTATAATTCTGTTCAATGACTCTAGAATTTTCTTAAACGTGGTCCATGAACTGTGGGGTTGAGTCGTTTATAATCAAAATGACCAAGGTGTTAAAACTCATGTAAATCAAAAGAATTAAAATCGAACGAACGGGAAGTCTTAAAATGATATGAAGATCAGCGTTTTTTTCCATTTTGCTGTTCTTTCCAACTGTTTACCTTCAAGACCTAACCACCTACAAGCAGATAAATTAGAAAGTGACAAATCATGACCCTCCAACGACAGACTGTTTCTTTTGTTCTCCGTAGTTACAAAGGTCATGGAAAGTCCTCACAGTCTCTCGGTAA